CATTGATTATTATGATAATCATTTATTATTAAAAAATTATACACGTCTCGTTTAAAATAAAATTATTATTATTAGTGTTGTAAACAAAATGTGTCATCGTTCATAGACCATTTTTTGTTGTGTCTTGTACTGTTGTGTAGTTTTGTACTAACGTTCATCGATTACGAGTTACTTAACGCGTGTTTATGTTTTTTGGTGCGTTATTTTTATATTAAATTTATTTAAATAAGTAAATTAAAATGAGTGACGGCAGAAAACGTTTAAGTGGTTCTGCTAATAAAAAAGCGTCTAAATTAAAATTAGAAAAAGAAAAAAAATAATTTCTCAAACCGCAAAATTAACAACTTTTTTTGGTAATTCACTTCCATCAACTTCCAATTTACAAAGCGAAACATTCAAGACTGAACTGTTTTCAAGTGAACCGAGTAATAAAAAGTAATCAAAGCAACAATCTTATATACCTATAGGTACGTAAATAATTTCAGTTTTTGATGTATTAACATTTTTTTATACTGCTTAGTGAACAAGATCCTCTTAAAATTTCTGTGGTCGAGAATAGATTAGTTGATAATGCGGTAAGACAATTACATACTTTCTTTTTCCAATATACCAAGGTAAGACGTATTAACAAAATAGATTACTTACAGTTTTAAATTATATATATATATTAACCTATAAAAAAAGTATAGCTAGTATAGAATAATATTATAGTTTGATGATAATATTCATCTACATAAGTCGGATTTTACAATTATTTATTTGTTATTACCTAATTTTAATTTTTTGGGGGGACTTACGGCATTTTTTCTTAGCACGTAWAGTCCAAAATATGTAGGTATTTTACATATTATTAAAATACATGAATATTACTTATATTGTCTGTGATGAATATTAATTTAATAATATTATTAATATATATTATATTTTAACAACAAAAACGTCAAAAACCTTTCGTAAACTACGTGTAAAAATGGCAAAGTAAAAAAAAAAAAATATTAGATCTTTAAACACTATAAACTATAAAGATATTGATAATAACATGAATAAATACTAAGTATATTGAATTGAAGTAAACTTATTTTGTTTCAATCATTTATTTATTTGGCGAGGAATTATTTAGAATAGTATATAAATATTAATAAGTACTATTTTAATAGTTCTTCGTCATTTAATTATTTTGTTCATCACACTTTGTTTCTTTTGAGAAATAATTCTTATCCAACTCCAAGTAAATAAATTATTGAAAAAAAAAGTTTACTTA